TGTTGATCTTTTAAGAAAAAAAAAAAATTATACCTCAAGAAAAAAAGAGAAAATATTGGGGAGTGACTTCTATTCCTGTAGGTTTTAGTTAAATTTAGAATTGTGTTTCAATTTAATTTAAGAAAAGATACAAAAACATGATTAGAGCTACAAAAGCTCAAACATCATATTACATCACCCATCTCTCTCTAGCACTTACATTTTTTTTTTTTTTTTTTTTCACAAAATTCATGTTCTTGAAATTTTATTGTCAAAACAGTAGTGCTTTTCTCATCAACAACAAAAAAAAAAAAAAACTTCAATAGTTAAAGATATTCCAAGTTAATTCTTAAAAATCATATGAAGGAAAAAAAAATTCAAATTAAACTCAAAGCACACAATACGAAAAGAAAAATAAAAGAAAAAAATTACCATCACCAAGAGTAGAATGACTGATAAAGTTTTGATAGTTCTTACGTACTTCCAGTGCTAACAATATCAATTACTTTGTTCAACTTTGCCATTTTTTCATATGTAAAATATTTCATTGTTACATACAAAAATTAATATTAAACTTCAAAGAGAAAAAGAAGATAATTAATACAAAGTAGAGAAAAAATTGAGAGAGCGTGAAAGTGACCCACAATGATAATTAGGGAAAAAGAGGGAGACGGAAATATCTTCCCATAGCTGAAAGGATAATTGTCTGTATTTGAAAAAAAATTTATTTATAAAATTAAGGATATAAGTGTGATTTCATTTAAAAGTGTCGTTCAATTGTAAAAAAATCATTTTTATTTATTATTTTATAGTTTACTAACTTGTAACCATAGAACATTTACCAACTTTTAAGATCTATCAATTTTTAAGTTTTACTAACAATTAAAAATTCTTCTATTAAGTAGTGATTAAAAATAATAATATTGAAAAACAACCAATCACTTGTAAAAAGACTTAATCGAAATTCAATTTAATCCTTAAATTAACTAATCGAATTGAATTCAATTTTCACTAATATTTGGTGACCCCTACTTATTGAAGCTTTTGCTCTGGCCAATTTGAACTTTAGGCGACATTCCTCTGGACACGACTATAGACATCAACAATGAACAAACCACCTCAACGAGAAATCAAGCTCGAAGGTACATCTCTTCGTGGGACCAGGATCACCTCCAGTAACACAGTGTCCCATTTTTTTCCATTTTTACAAGTTAAAGTACATCCCAACATTTTCCTAAGGCACATACATTTTTCTAAGGTACATCTCAATATTTTCCTACTGTGAATCTCAAAATTTTTCTACTATGCATCCCAAACTTCGGTGACGTGGTCATTTCTCAACCACTCATTTTAAAATGGAGTGAATGGCACACTATTTCACTGGAGGTGATTTTCACCCCTCTCCGCATGTGTGTGTGTGTGTTACAGACTTGCAGTGCAGATTCATTTTATAAATAGTGCTACAATTGACAATCTTGGTCAGTAGTGAATAAAGATAGTGTCTCGAATGAATCTATAACAATCGGACCTTTATCATTTTCCTTATTCCATGGGGAGTGAAATCTGATACGAGGGGAAGCTTGAGTCGGGAAGAAGTGAGCTAGGGTTTCCCAAGTCTGCAACTTACAATTTATTGTGCTATATCTTCTGTTAGATACAACTGCTCCAATTTATGCTAAATTAGTTGCTAAAGCTTACTGGATGTTGGTTTTTGTTGGAGGGAGCATTGTGATTTGTATTAATTCTGCCTCTGTACTTGGTTTTTGTTGAAGAGAGTGAGAGAAAGCTCTTTGAAGTATGAACTAGGGCTTTTTTTATATACTAAACAGCAGAAGCAAGTATTTCAGTCTTGGGGCTGGGTGCTCTAGTTATAACCAGGGATGGGATTGCGAGTTGAAACCCGTCCCAGTTTTAGGACCGGTATGGGATGCTGTAACAATAAACAGGGCGGGGTAGGGTTTAGGGGAACCTGTCTCAAATCCGTCTCGTTGCCATCCCTAGTCTGCACATCAACCCATGAAGCAGATAACCCTGTTGAAGTCTCTCTAAGAGAAGCTTCAGCTTCTTGAACCTCAACTCAGGCCTCCATTTCTGTTAACAATCCCAACTCCACAGGACTACGTAGACCTTAATAGGGCGATTCTCTGCGGTATTTTATGTGAACCCCAATTGGCCAAAGTTCATATTAAACACTTGCACAGCAAGGCCACGGATGGTTATAGTTTTTTCACGAACATGCTTACCAAGATTGTTGATGAATTGTACCCAAAACTTGTTGAGTTAGTGAAGGTTCAATTGATTTGGGTTACTTCCGAAATGGTCTATGTTTCGGCAGTAGGAGTTGATGTGTTGTTGGTGGCCCTTTTGAGGCAAATCATTGGTGGGTATTTTAGTGTAGGGAATTTGTGGTTGTGTTCAGAGTTGCTTTCTCTTCTTTTAGCCAAATGGGATTGTTTACTAGAAGAAGAGCCCCTGGTTTTGACAAGTGCTTTATATACTTTTCTCCGGTTATTGGCAGATCATTATAGGTTATCGGGTAATTCGAAGATAGAGGTGTTGAAGAGAATGGAGATTGATTTTTGTATTAGAATGTTGAGGGAGCAATTTCGTTTGTGTTTCAAGATTGGGAGGGATCTCATTTGGCTTCTACATGACTTGTTTCATATACCTGAATTTCAATCTATATGGAAGGACTTGCTGTTGAACCCAAGTGGATTTAAAACTGATGGGTTTTTAGATATTAAACAGCTTTATCAATCAAGGACTTCAAGTAGGTATTTTTCACTCCGTGTCACTCCTGAAATGGAGACCCAATTGCGATTTTTGCTTACACATGCGAACTTGGGGAGTCAAAAGCGGTACCAGGCTTGGTTTGTTACAAAGTTTCTGTGTGTGCCGGATAGACACTAGTAATTGACATTGTTCGGTTTATATGTTGTGCACACCGCCCATCTAACGAAATTATCCAGTCGGCTATCATCCCAAGATGGGTTGTTATAGGTTGGCTGTTGAAATCTTGTAGGAAGAAATATGTTGAAGCCAATGTGAAGCTGGCCCTGTTTTATGACTGGCTTTTCTTTGACGAGAGAGTGGACAATGTGATGAATATTGAACCTGTGATATTACTGATGGTGAACTCTGTTCCCGGATATGTTGACATCACTCACACTCTTCTCGAGTTTTTGTTCCTTCTTGTGGACAACTATGATTTGGAGAGGAAAGAGTCAATCACTCAGTGTGTTTCGTCAGCCTTCTCTATAGTTGTTAGGAAGAGAGTGGTTAACTCACTTGATGTTTTGGTTAGTTGTGACGCACTCTTGTCCCTTTCTCCAAGAGAGGCTTGTGATGTTGTTATCAGACCACTAAACTAGGTGTTTCAAAAGAAGTGCAGCCACCCCCATGGAATGGAAGATCATGGGAAATCGATTGGGTAGGATATTAACATGAAAACGGATCCAAGAACGCAAGATCATTGGAAATTGTTGTAATTTCTTAGACATATGGTGAATATTTGACTAAAAACTGACTCCAAAATCTCTAGGTGGAAGAACTCTCAACAAATATTTGTTATAGAATTCCATAATGTCTCTGGCCATGAGAAACTTGTAACCATTCATTGTTCTCTTTCCTTTCTCTTGATTCTGCCGTGGGTTGACGACTACAACGGCAAAACAGTGATGATCTAGCAATATAAGGTAATTTTCTTACTTCTTCTACTGCCGGTACTATTAGCTCTCTCTCCCCCCCCCCCCTATTGGGGCAGGTACAGATGGACCAACTGATGATACTAGTTCTTTTGACGGTGCCATGGGTATCTGTTCTTGCTGGAGGTGATACCGATAATAGGAATTTCTGTTGTTTGTTTTTTGCTGTTGTTCCAGCTACTTTATTGTGGGTAATAAAAATTTATATAGCTAGCGACCTGCAATTTTGATAAGTTTTTGATGATGCGGTAGGCTGGACACCCTTCTCTTCTCGAAGCTCATTTGGTTTTACTGCAGTCTTACTTTCATAGTAGATTTTTCGATAGCTTATTTTTAGAATATATTCTCAAATGTTTAATACTTCTCTCGTTTTCTAGTTTATATATATATATGTGTGTGTATGTATATTTCTTTTTCTTTATTTATTTTTTGTTGTAAATTATGGGTTTTAGAAACGCACACATCACATATGGGCTTTATATCATCATATATATTCATTTATTGTCCATATGGTCATATAGAAACCCACACTAATGGAAAATCAGCCTGAAAATTCTGCTGGAATTGAATCTGAGGAACTTCTAGATGACTTTCAGTGTTGCGTATGCCTGCAAGTCTTCATGAACCTCATAATAAGTGACCTAGTATTTATTGTGCATTCTTGATTTAGGTATTTGTTTTTGCATATACCATCACCAAGTTTTTTCTTTTTGTTTATTCGGATTGATTCCATTGTTTTTATGTTTTTTTTTTTCAACTCTGGAATTACTAATTTTGACAAAGAATTGGATGCTCCTGAGATTTATTTTTTTGTGTATAATATACATGTATGTATAAGGTTTTACTAAATATCCTAATTTCTAATACACTAGAATCATAATCATCACGTGTTGAAGTAAATTGTCAAAATAGAATTCTCATTGAGGCAAAGTCAGTGACCAACCAAAATTTGTTTAACATAATGGAATGACATGTCTGTGTGAGAGAGCAAAATTGTAAATCGGTGACTGACTTTACCTTTTATGTTGTAGAGAACATAGTTGATTTGGTTTGTTAAAGTAAAGAGATTTCCACAGACTGACGCGGGATGAAAAAAACAAAAGCTGTTAACTATAATAGCAACCTACACTCACCTTAGCAAAAGCATTGTTAATATTATGTGGAGTCATCTATCAACTTTTGCTTTGCCATTCTGATCAATTGTGGTCCATATTTTGTCTCACACGACACAACCAGAGCACCTCATCATCTCACTCATTGATGCACATCATGCACCTCTAAGATATCGTAAATGGGTACCGTTGATTCCTCTATCACTTCTCTCTTAATGATTGGTCATACATCTTCATATAAAACATACTTCTCTCTTAATGATTGGTCATACATCTTTTTACCTTGCAGGGATCTCTTCTACAAGCCAGTTGTATTGGGTAAGAAGGCATTACAATTTTTTAGTTATTCCTCCATCAAGTTCTAGACCGTTTTCTCTTGCTTGCAGCATGTGGCCACATTTCACGCTTTGGGTATAGCTTCAAATCTATGGATACTTGGAAGGGATCACATTGTCCAGTTTGTCGGCATCCTTATAATCATTTGCCTATCATCTGTCAGTTGCTGTACTTCTTGCTTCTGAAGTTATATCCATATTAGCCTATAAAAGAAGGAGAAGACAAGTCAGAGGTGCATTTTGTTCAAAACTTAGTTTTAATATTTAGAATTATTTTATATTGCTCAAAATTTTCCCAATATATACTATACATATGGCATATTTGGATTTCTCAGAATTTGTGAATAGTCATAAAATTTGCATTAATTTAAATTGCTTAGAATTTGTGATTAGTTAGAGAATATGCATCATAGTGCATTATATACTATTTTACTTTAAGGAAACCAAGGTTTATTTGTTTTGTTCTGTTCTTTTTCTTTTTTCTAGGGTTTATTTTAGAATGAATGCCATGAAAAGTCTAAAGATTTAGTCTAAGTTGGACATAGATTGACTTGAGAGGCTTATATTAATGGATTTCAAATGTTGAAATCCATGTCCATGGTGATTCTAGAAACACAAGGACTGTAAGATTATATGACTTCCATATTGATAAACTAAAAATTCATATTGTCTTTTGTATTCAGTGTCAATTATCATGTTTTCGTTTAAACTCAAGTTCCGTCATTTCAAATCCATTGATTTATCTAAATGCAGCATAAGGAATTGTCCACTAGAAACATTTCTAGTGAGAAACGTTGCAACATTTTAATGAGTAATGTTGCAACGAATAAAATTTTTCTATAAATTTTTGCCATTACATTTATTTTTTATTTGGAAATTCAAGCAAGATTTTAAATTATATTAAGAACTAAATCACATACTAAAACCATGAGTAGCTACAATAATACATACTTAAGAGGTAACCTAAAACTACATGAGTTATTACAAACATGACATGTGATGGAACAACACAAGTAATCATAATTTAATCTGTTACATTTTTTTATGTTGTTGTGGAAGATGAGAAAGTCCTAATAAAAAACATTATGTATAGATACCATGAAAACACACATGCCGTCCACAACTAGAAAACACAGAATATAAACAGCCGAAGCAGTACATGACCACTAGTTCCTAAAGATGATCAATCCAATGAACTAATAATCTGACAGACAGCACCATATATATCCATTTATTTTATAAAAAAAAAATTGAGAAAAGAACAATATGTGTGCATCCATCAGTGGCAAACAATCCACCTTGATATCTATCTTACAGAGCAAACTTCCTTTGAGACATAGTTCCGATATGATGGAGCAGAAGAGCTACCAACACTTCCACCTCTCAAAGTATACAATCCGTTGCAATAAAATCATGTCATAACATGTGAATATTTTTCGATTACTTATTATCCTTGATATAGACACTACAAGAAAAGGAGGCTTTTGGGATGGTTTAAAAATTGTCTCAAATGAGCCTGGTTTTTGGGACCATAACATATCTACTGTCCCAAATGAGAAAAAAAAAATGATTTTGGTGGGAAAATGAGGCTCTTGGGACAGATTATATCGTCTCAAATGATTCTGGTTTTTGGGACAACAACATATCTACTGTCCCAAATGAGCTAAAAAATAACCGGGAATATTTTTGGTGGGAAAATTTGGCTGCATTGTATATTTGGGAAAATTTGACACTTGATTTTCCTCCCTCCCTAATTCCAAATTTCCACGTGCAAAATATTAAAAAATTTCTATACTACACCTTTTTGGGTATTGTAAAGTTGTAAACCCACTCTCTCTCTCTCTCTCTTCTCATTCTCATTTCTCTCACTATACAACTTAGCCTAACATCATATATCATCTATCTACTCTCTGTACAGCCAACGCCACACCAGTTGCAACTATCTCACGCCGGCCAGTTTGGCTTCTCATTCTCATCTCTCTCTGTACAGCCGACGGCGCTGCACCAGTTGCAGCTACTTCATGCCGGTTCGGCTTGCCACACTCTTCTCGGCGTGAAGCGATACACCTAGGGCTAAGAAGGAATTCATTTGTAGAAGCATAGTGAGGAGGATCGATTGAATTTGGAAGATCTGCTTTTTTGCTGCTTCTAATCTCTCTCGTGTCAATCGGAGCTTACTCTCTCTCTCTCTTGATCGGTGATTGAAATCGACAACTATCCGTAAGTTTTCGCAATCAATCTTACGGTTATTGTGTGCGTAATTTCTTCAATGGCCTCCACACTTTTGATAAATTTCCCCCAATTTTCAGAGGCATGTATATATACATATATATATATATATTAGGTATGTGTTTTAGTTTTCGTTTTCAATTTTTATGCAAACAATAGCAATTGAATCCATATACGTAGGTGGACTATGTTTAACATCCCGAAACTGAAATTTGAAATCAACATGTTGAAATATTAATGACCTCAAATGAAGAAAAGACAAAAAATTGGAATCCATGTTGAGAAATTGAAAAACTGATTTACATTGGAATTGTTCAGTGGGTATCAAGTTGATTTTATGATTGTCTTTTGATTTGGAGGTATTCAATCCCTTGAAAAGCATGAACGTAATTTTTTTCATGTATTCGTGTAGACAGATTCTTCAATGAACTTTGGAAAGAGATGGCATGGAAGTTTTAAGTTCACTAAATTTATGGAAAAAAAAAGCTCCCCAGCATTCTCTCCCGCACTCTTTCAACATACTAAACACAAGCATTGTATCTCCACCGTTAGATGGCTATGTGCATAATAATTGTTCTGGTTGTATATTTTATATGTATATTGGTGATATCTTGTCCAAGTAATGATGCACTCCATAAATCTTGCTTCTCTGTGCATAGAAGCCCATTGTTCCTATTGATTTGTACAGAGCAGTGCGAGATTCACAACTTGTAAGACTGTCAGATTACACAAGAGAGGTGCTTATTCTTGATCCAGATTAATCTCATTTTCAGCATTTATGTTTCTTGTCTGTATATATTGGTACGTCTGATGTAGTTAAATTTGTTTATAAAAATGAAACCGATGGAACTGTGTTGTTCTCTCATGTATTCTTACTAACATGTAGTGACTATCTTGTCATTGTTATTGGTGTAGGATTCAGCACGTTTGACAAAGCTTCTGTAAGGATTATTGTTTTCCCCCAAATTCCCTTTGACATTCATAATCATGCAGTGTATGCATGTATATATAAACCAAACTCATCTGGTTCCAATGTTAACATGTTTATAATGTACTTCCTAAAGCTTTCTAGTGAGTGTTTTTTATCCAGTGGTTATGCGTCTCAGCAGATGTTGGTAAGATTGAAGAATTGTAAATTTGGTTTATATGGATACAAGGACGTGTGTAACGGTAGCTAGAGATTCAGGAAGTACATTATAAACATGTTAACATCTCTTTCGGATATTTTATGTAAACAATGTGGCTTTGTTTATGGCTTTGTTGATTATTTGCTGATACCAAATTTTCATTAATGCGATTTGACTATGGAATCACAGGACCTACAGAGATAAATATGCAAATGATTCCATTTACATTTCAGAATATTCAGCGTATCTTTGAACATTTTTGAAGTGTCTCGATTAAACAGTCATTTAAATTCATCTGGATTAGTAAAATATACACAAAAATGAACAGGGATACACTAATTTGTGCTACTTAAGTGAAAAACGAGAATAATCAAGATGGGTTGTGGGTTTTGAGTCATTAGGTCTGGTAGGTTCCACTCCCAAACCCACTTCATCAAAGATTAACAACCCAAAATTGCTTCAGTTGCGATTATCCATTTTTATCTGTTATTGGTCAGACTCACACAACGTAGTTCTAACCATGATGGCAAGATAGGGGCATTTGGGCAGATAGTACAGCCCACCTGTTTGGACCGAGTCATTGATCATCGTTGCCACATGGCAGACTTGAAATGTTTTGTGAACGGGTCCTAGTACCACACAACCAAACAACTTGGTACAAAGACACGTGGCCCTAAGATTTCCGCCATAACTAACCCAATTCAAGGGCACTAACTGACTTCAACCAACTCTTTCGTCCTCTCACATTTGTGATGTCTCTTCATGTTGTGATAAATCCTCTTGCAACACACACATACACAGATCATGGCTCAGCCCAGCAACTAACTTCAAGCTACTTTTGGTCCTCTCACTTTAGGATGTCATTTTCATGATGTGAAAATTCTCATGCGTATGTGTGTGTGTGTGTGTGTGTGTGTGTGTGTTGTGTCTATTTTGAGTGTGTTGTGTCTATTTTGAGTTGTTCATATCTGTTATACTTTCAGGAAGCTTTATCATATTCTCCACTAATGGAGAATATTTGTCTAGACCCCTATGTAGGCATATCCTTGTAGACAGCTTTACTCTCTACTATTTAGTTACCAAAATGTTATACTTGTAGGATTTTATTGCGTCTACAAGTATTTGGGACGGATAGTAAATACTTGGTTATCAGCTGTACTCTCTACAAGTATTTAGTTAATGGCGAATCTTCCGTCCCAAATAAATATTTGGGATGGATTTTTATTCCGTCCCAATTAGTCCATCCCTAAAACCCTTTCGGGATGTAACTAATTGAGACGATAACATTTACCGTCCCTAAAAGGTACAATTTTAATACTTTTAGGGATGATTTTTTTTGTCCCTAATAACTAAAATTCTTGTAGTGAGACATTCTAGGAAATATAGAAATTAGAAAATTAGTACTAGTGGCACGTACTAAAGTAAAATCACAATGTATTCCTATGGTTTGGGAAGTTAATTGTATAAATTTATTTATTACTTATCAAAAAAAAAAAAAAATTGTATAAATTTATTTATTAAAGGACTATTTGAAAAGAAATGCCGTGTTAAAATGAGGTTAATTAACTTCTAAATATGCCCTTAAGAAATTTGATACATACAAATAAAAGTAACATAAAATAGATACCTTCATGGCTTGCAAGAAACTGATGTCTAATCTTCTTTGGTGTTGCCATGGCTTCTTCCATGTTTAATCTATCCTGTGGTGATTCTGCACGGCAATTCAGAGCCAATTGCATGATGGATGATACACATTGCACCTTTGCACTGAGTTGTCCGTCCTTTGGCCTGAGCAAGTTGGCATCTATAACTTCAATTATTGGATTAGGTAGGGACTCACTTACCCATAGCTTCAAGCTCAAGCCTCCAACAAATATTTCATCAGTGGGCTTTGTTCTTGTAAATGTTTCCATTAAGATAACCCCATAACTGTAGACATCGGACCTTGTGGAAACTAATCCTTCCAATCCGAGCTCTACGTCAAACATCAGAATTAATCAAAACAAATAAAATGTGAAAGGGAAGTAAAACTTCAATTAAATTTTTTGTTAAACTTGAAGTAAGATGTGAAGCTTCACCTAGTGCAATAAATCCCAAAGTAGCTAGTCTTGGTGTGAGCAATACTCTCCCCCTCACCCAAGAACTTTGAAATGCCAAAATCACAAAGATGTGCAACCATATCTTCATCTAGAAGGATATTGTTGGGCTTCAAATCACAATGAACCATTGGTATTGAATAACAATGGTGGAGATAGTCAAGTGTACATGCCACATCTATCATTATGTCTAATCTCTGCAAGATAGTTAAGAAATAGTGACTCCCATTAAGCATGTATTGGAGTACGAATGCTCTGAAATTTAGGTTGGAGCAACTCCTGATAACTTTGGTGAGATTTCTGTGACGAATGTTGCGCAACATTTTATATTCCGTATCGAAACTCCTGGATGCACCTTCTTGTTGCAAATTGAATACCTTGATCGCCAAAATAGTCCCATCCGTAAATGTCCCTTTGTAAACAGAACAAAAACTTCCCGTTCCAAGCAAGTTACTATCACTAAAACCATCAATAGCTCATAACAGTTCTTGCTATGTAATTCTTCCATGTGCTGATGTGGGTAAAAAGTCCGTTTGATTTGGAGTTTTGTTTCTCTTTCGACATCTTATTAATACAATTGTGAAGGTCAAGGAAATTAAAGCAATGGGCAACAAAATGTATATTACTAGAAGAACTCTTTTTTTCCTTGATCCATTAAGAGAGCTTGAATGGCATGGTGGGACTTGCGACTGCGGGGCACCACATAGTGCTTCATTCGATGTAAAGGATTGACTTTGAAGTTTGCAAATGGTCCCCCGGTGGGAATTTCTCCTCTTAACCTATTGAAAGATGCATTGAAATACAATGCATTGTGGCATGGTGTGACTTGCAACTGCGGGGCACCACATAGTGCTTCATTCGATGTAAAGGATTGACTTTGAAGTTTGCAAATGGTCCCCCGGTGGGAATTTCTCCTCTTAACCTATTGAAAGATGCATTGAAATACAATTATGAAAAAAAAAAAAAAAAAAATGCATTGAAATACTGAAGATACAAGAGTGACTCCATTGACTTTGGAATTATGCTTGAGAGATTGTTGTAAGATAGATTCAAGTATTCCAAGCTTATCAAGTTGCCAAATGACTTAGGAATAGGTCCTTGTAATCTATTATGTGCCAAAGAAATATTGATCAAGGTTTGCAAATCTCCAATTGTGGCAAGGATATCACTTGAAAAGCTATTCAGTGACAGATCTATTTGTATTGCTGCCTTTAAAGTTCCAATCTCTGATGGAAGAGAGCCACTCAAAGAATTTGAGGACAAGTTCAAATACAAAATATCTTGGAGGTTGAACAGGTTTATGGGTATTGTGGAAGGTTAATTTGTTGGAACCCAGAAAGAGTTCTCTTAGAGAAGTAACATTCCCTAGGCAAGTTGAAATCGGACCAAAAAGTTCATTTTCACTCAGAGCTAATGCACCCAAGTTGTGTAAGTGGCAGAGATCATTTAGAATCGGCCCTTGTATCCGGGTAATTCCAAGATCTAAAACTTGAAGCCTTTGCAACTGTTTCAATGTCGCTGAAATAGATCCGGTGAAGTCATTATCATATAGTAGCAAGAAAGCCAAAGTGCTCAAGTTACCAATATGGTTTGGAATTTTGCCCTAATTTCACATTCACTTGCCCAAAAATCTTGAAGTGAAGTGGAGGGGTTCCCAATGGTAACTGGAAGAATGCCCTTCAGAAGGTTGCCTCTTATCCGCAATAAAGCTTAATTCTTGGTTTGGAGATTCATTAATGAAATTGTTTCTTCCTAGTTGTAGAATTCTGAGTTGTCCCAAGTTACCAAGCGAGTTCGGGGATTGAATGACTGAAATTCTTATAGGAAAGGTCTAAAACAGCGAGTTTGGATAGATTTGAGATGGAGCAAGGGATAATTCCGTTGAGGTTATTTTCACCAAGATATAATTCTTCAAGATTGGGTAACCTAATACTTGACATAAGTATGCCTGAAAGATGATTTTACACTAATGAAACTTCTCGCAGTGTCGAACTGTTGAAAATTGTAGCCGGAATGGGACCTTGTAAGTTATTGGCAACTAAGAATAAAACCTCCAGATTGCAAAGGTTACCAATCTCTTGTGGAATTACACCTGTAACAAAAGTATTATAATACACGCGAACAAGTAAATTGTTGGCATCTATAGATTGCTATGATTAACAATCTCATGTAAATTTTAGCAAGCACTACATCTTTCTGTGTTAGTAGTGATCTTATGATAGCAAAGTTATTTAAAATGAGTCATGATCCAACGCGGTAATAGTGCGGTGTTGTATGGTAACAGATGTTTGTGAGTGATTATAGCCGTCCCGGGTGTATCGCAGGGGGTCTGACTCATTTAAAAGAAAGTTGGATATAATTTTTATTTTGAAAAACATTCCATACCACTTTTGAAAATCAAATTAACAAATAAAGTAGATGATTAAGAAGGTACTTATCAAACTGTTCCCATCCAAATATAATTTAATCAGTGAAGTAGAGTTTCCGAATTCTCTTGGAATGCTTCCATACAATTCATTCATGTTAAGATAAACTTCCTCAAGCATAGGAAGATGTCACCTCATACCCAGTGGTAGACTAACACTAAAGGTATTGATATGGAGATAAAAGTGTTTTTAAAGATGAATGACGGTATGGTACCAGTGAGGCCGGCACGCTCGATCATTAGTATCTCCAAATTATGAAGATTTTCTAGCTGTTGTGGAATTTTACATACAAAGTAATACAAAATTACCAACAAACCTCTTTTTTCAAATATATAATTATTAAAATGATCTGTTTGAGAATATTCTAGGTTTTCTATTTAAACAAAGCAGGCTTGCATAGCATGCACTTAGCATATATATATATATATATAGCTTGAGGCCATGCCATGCTGTGGAGTTACAATTAGAGTGAAGAACTATCATCCTTTATTGAGTATGATTGGTACATCTAATCCACCCCAGACTCTGCATTGGCGGGAGCCTCGTGTACTAGGCTAATCCTTTATCTTGAACCAATCATGTAAAATTTAAGTATGTATAACCAGTACATTTTATTTAAAACTGGAACACAACTAAAAGATTGCAATGAAACACAAACGATGGTAATGTCATGTCTATTCTTGAGAGGTTGTATTTGAGAATTGGATTAGAACGGAGGAAGTGACTCCTCTTTTTTATGGTCTTTTTCAGATCTGTTCATAAATCTTTGTCTTTATACAGAATCATTTTAATCTGAGATGGCCTTTCAAAGTAAACAACGGTAACCTCTTTTCACTTATTGTTCACCTTCTCTAGAAGGCATATGATAAATTAATCTTTGACATCCATGTCCATTTGTTCAATCTAACTAGATTGTATCAAGTCCTTTCAAATGCTTGAATATGCTAAATCAAAACTGAATAGAATGTCCTTTATTTGGGAGATTGAGTGCACATAAGTTCTTAATTAATCTTTTTAACTGTAACATAAATAATCTATTTAAAATATTTCCAGGGGAGATTAGCAAACTAAATATATTTTTTTTAGTATGAAGAAAAGTTTTTGCAAGCAAATTATTCATTTATAAGATTTTAGAGCATTTGAATATATCTTTATACATTCATTCATCTAAGTAAATAATATAAAACATTAATATATCACAATTTTCAAAACTTTCGTGGTAGGCAAAAATTTGTTCAGAATCATTGTATAAAATAAAGTCCTTGCATATATTTAAACACACATGGATATAGCAAGGAATAACAAAAGCAGAATTTACAATACCTATCCAGTTGTTTCACCCAAGATATAATTCTTTCAGGATGGTTAAGTTCCCAATCTCTCTTAGTATTTTTCAACTGAATTTATTATATGATAATGACAGGATTTGAAGTTCCGAACATTCATAAAAAGTGGAAGGAATTTGGCTATCGAAATGGTTATAGGACAGACCAAGCCAGGAGAGTTTTGGAAGACGATAGCACATATCTGCTGGAAGATTACCCGATAGGCTATTATTGGCAAAACGAATAATTTCCAGCGAGGAGATGTTGAAGATAGAGGCAGGTATGGAGCTCGAAAGTTGGTTACACTTCAAATCCAAAAACTCTAGAGTAGCAAGCTTGCCAATTTCTTTAGGAAGGTTTCCTGTAAAGTCGTCGAAAGTTAAAATGATGACTTTTAATGAACGCTAATTACCTATCCATATAGGAATATCACTATGGAAACTGTTGTTTCTTATGTTGCCAGATAGTAGTAAAGAGAGGTTATGTATTTATTCATTTTAGAAATTAGCATGCATCATTAACTGAGCCCAATATCCTAAACCATTTTGGTATGCAAAACATTGTCACAATAGAAGATGAAGTCCTTGCATACATATGTAAGCACACATGGAGATATAGTAAGGGAGAAGAATTGCAGAATCTAACTTACCTATCAAGTTGTTTCCGCGGAGATATAACTCTTTAGGATGGTTAAGTTCCCAATCTGTCTTGGTATTGCTCCACTAAATTTGTTATTTGACAATGACAACATATGAAGTTCCGAGCATTCATATAAAGTGGAAGGTATTTGGCCATCGAATTGGTTAACAGACAGATCAAGCTTGTTGAGTTTTGGAAGATGATAGCACATATCCGTTGGAAGGTTTCCACTAAAGAAGTTATATCCTAAACTGATGGATTTAAGTCTCTGCAAATGTGCAAGTTCTTTAGGGATAAGGCCATGGAAACTATTATTTGTAAAGTTCAGCAAAACTAGGAACGAGGGGTTTCCGATGTGTGGAGGGATGGTGTCTTCTAGAGCCATGTTGGGGAGCTCTAAGACAACGACTCTGTGGTAGGGAATGTTGCAAATAACACCAATCCAGTTGCAAGGGGAGGTTGAGATACTTCAGTTATTTTCCAACATGTTGTAAGGGTCGAAAGTGATATGGGATTTCAGGGCAAGAAGAGCATATTGATCAGTTGTGATGTTGGTTGCAGTCCTAGTACTCATCACCAAGCAAACCACGAGAGAGTACCGCACCAACAATATAAAGGTAACAGAAACAAGGGAGCAAGTTTTCTCTATGACGAAGGTGATACAGGTTGAGGTGAATTGATAAGTGCTTAAATGTTACACATTTCAGCACCTAAGTTAGGATATTTCAATTCTTACATCTATCTTACTTTCATGTTTTAGTCCTAATTTATGTTTATGTGTATTTTAGGGCAATAAAGCTAAAATAGGCTTACAGCGGTCCATTATGACCATTTTGGAGTCAAGCCAGAGCATCGGGACAAATTTGAGAAGGAAGCAGAAAAATGCAGCAACATCACGTTCGGACGCCAAGCTTTTAGCAGCAATTTTAGTTACGGGTTTGACCTGTTTTTATGGTTGCAGGTTTTAACTTTTTGGGCTGATTTTTGTAACCTATGGGCTTTATTAGGTTTTGTATTAAAGGGAAAATAAGCCCATTATTTTTAGGGTTAGTTTCTTTATTTTAAGAGTTAGTTTTTATTATTATATTATTGAGTTTTATTTTTTTATATATCGATATTCTCTCTGGAAAGCACGAAAGAGGAGAAACAGAAGAACGAGCTAGGGTTTGGAAGAAAAAGCTCAGAGATAATGAATCCAATGATGGAGATTGTTCTGTCTTCAACTCTATCAACCATGAGTGGCCGATTCTTCTACTCAGGGTTGGATAAACCCTAAGCATGTAACCTAACTTCTCTCTCTTTTACTATTTTGGGGATGTAAATTATGTAATTTTTGTATAGACTTTGAATATTATTGAATAAATTCTTCCAATTGGTTATCAATGTTAAATTCATGTTGTCTTATGTGTTTTTGCTTGTTAATCAACCTTTACACTTGATTTCTCTGTGAATTGAATCTTGTGATGTCTATGCATGTTGATAATTAGTTATAGTTGTGCTTCAATTTGATGGAAATTACTTTTACTTGATGGATGGTACTACACAATTAGGTTAATTCATTGTCTGATTAATTGTTTAAGTTCATGTTTAATTAGTTTAATTACAATTTAATTATTAGGTAAGTAAACCATCCATACTTGTGTTTGAATTCCATGCTCTTTGTCACAGTTGCATTACCTTCTTGATTGATGTATGTTAAAATTGTAACTTGAATTGATGAGTCATGTTTTGGATCGATGAATTATACTACACCTAGTTTAATTGTCATTAAGTAGGTAATTCAAGCTTGAAATTGATGATTCATACTTTTCTTTGCAAATGTTAGCTACATTAGAATTACATTTAATTATTTCCCCAATTAGTGAAAGTTAGTGTGTTAGGGAATGTGCTTAATGGTGAATCCTACACCCTAAGTCTCTTTCCAATCTTTTAAACTCCATTATTTTATTGCAGTCACTTAAGTTAAATTAGTTCTAATCACAAAACAAAACCCTTTTCAGTAATCACATAAGTACTAAAGTAGAATTCGATTCTAAAACCCTATAATTGTTTAGATCTCTTGGGACGATCCCTGTTCACTTCATAGTCCATAGTATAAGTGTTTAGTGGTTTATAAATTATAAAATATGATACCCACTTAACATTATTTCTAAACCTAAAGTATTGTGCATTATTTTGTGCACACGTTTGGTTGTATCATAGTTTTGGCGTCGTTGCCGGGGATCTAACGGTTTTAAAGAATTGAATTAGACATTAGTTCTTTATTGATTGTTTACTTTAAAGTCATTTTAATTTTTATTTTCTTATCTAATATTTGTCAATTAGGTACTTTAAGTAAAGTGGAGCAAACGCTGGACTTTGAAGCAATTAATTTTTTTTTGAAGTTGCTTAAGGACCATTTGTAAGTTTCTCTTAAATTTTTGTGCTTTAATTGTTTACTATCTTGCATGCTTTGGACAACTCAACTGGAGGCTTAATTTGAATTGTTTTATTTTTAAGTCCAAGCATACCTTCTTGTAGAAGGCATCGGCCCGTGTGGAGGTATTTATTTGTTTTAAGTGCATTAATATTATTGAGGAGTTTGGGAATATCGTATGTGGAGGTTGAAAATTATTGTGTTGATATGTTGACTTATTCTAGTGCATGCATGGTTGTAGACTACTTAATCGCCCTCTTACTCCTGTAAATCAAAATCTCGAAGTTTCCCTTCAGCGTTTAAGAGGTATTACTAGGGATAGTTATCCTAATCTTCCAAATTTTGATCTTTCATCACCTTTAATGGAAGACCCAATAGATCCAATTGAAGATCCCATTGAAGATCTTGGTCATGTGCACCACCCACCACAAGTTCATATTGTGGATCCTCAAGGTGTGCATCCACCCTTGGGAATGCCACAACCAATTAATCATGTTGTGCAACAACCTAATCTAGGGATGTCAAAGCCAAATGTTGTTCCCCCAATTGATGAGCAACAACAACAATATGTTCAAATGGTATACCCTCAACAAGGTCAAATGGCATACCATCATCAAGGTCAAATGCCATATCATCCTCTCAATCCTCTCAATCCTCCAATGGTCCTTAGGAATCATTATACTCCAAATCAATATAATGCACCAACTTGCATTCAATTGCCAAATTTCTGTGCTCATCATTATGAGATTAAAGCTTCCACCATTAACATGTGCCCCCTTTTCTATGGGTTGAGCAATGAAGAGACTTATAAACATTTATATGAGTTCTTGGAAGTTTATTCCACTGTGAAAATCACGGATGTTTCGAAAGAAGTCCTAAAAATGAAGCTTTTCTCTTTCAGTCTTCGGGATAAAGCTAAATATTGGTTCAAAAACTTGCGGTCAAATACAATCACCTCTTAGGCACAATTGCAACAAGAGTTCCTAAAAAGGTACTATCCTGCGAGTCGAACCGATTCAATAAGAACTTTCATTTGTGAATTTGCACAAGAAGAAGGAGAACCCCTTCTTGTAGTATGGGAACGTTTGAATGACTTGCTACGGAAGTGTCCACATCATGACATTCCTAAGTGACAATTAGTTCAATGTTTCTTTTCAAGTTTATCCGATGCTAATAAGGGCATTGTTGATGCTTCTTGTGGCGGAAGCTACATAGAAAGAAATGAAGATGAAATTTGGCATCTCTTTGAAAAAATGAGTGAAAACTCGATGCATAGGTCTTCATCTTCTAGGGGGGTCGCCTAGCAAATATGGGAGGAAAGAAAGCTCTATGTCAAATAGACACTTCCATGGAAATTGCCACCGAGGTCAAAAATCTTTCTCAAAGGTTTGATAAATTCCTTTTAAATCAAGGTTCGGCAATTCAATCTTATCCTCATCATTCTAATGAAATATGCATGACTTGTTCTAGTTATACTCAGTGGCGTAGCCACATAGGGACAAGTGGGGGAAGCTGCCCCCACTGAATTTTTAATTTGTTTAATTTTTTTTTAATTTTATATGGAAAGATTTTTATATTTGTATAATTATCCCCACTAAAAATTGACATTGCACACACACACACACACACACACATATATATATATATATATATATATATATAACCAAATGACCATTCACGGTATTATAAAATAAAAAAAAGGAATATAATCTTTCCAAAAAATATGATATTTTTTTCCACTTTCTCAAAATATTATATTCTTTCTCAATTTCGCCAAAAATACAAGATATCCTTTCACACTTTTGACTTTACCACAAACAAATGCGTTGTTAATTTCCATCACATTTTCAATCTTCAACATTTCTCTTTCGACGAGTCTTCAATATTTCAAAATTTCACAAAATCCAAACAAATATTACAGTGCGAAGACAGGTAATCTGATATATATTTTTGTTTCATCTAAATTTACTATTATTATGCCATGAACATTTTGAAAACTCGACTGCGCGCTTTCAAAATATGAAAAATATTCTGAAATATTTAGTACTGATTAATTTTTACATATATTATTTTGGTTCAATATATATATATATATATATATATATATATATATTATTACTGTTAAAAATTGCCCCCACTGAAGGAAATTTCTAGCTACGCCACTGGTTACACTCACCATACTTCAAATTGCCCTCTTGGACAAATCATACCAAGTGAGTCTCAAGAACAAGCAAATGCCGCTTTCATTCATCAAGGGAACAACCTTTATTCCAATACTTACAATCCGGGGTGGAAGAATCATCCAAACTTTGCATGAAAAATCAAGGAGATGGTGCAAACCCTTCTCAACCTCAAGGTTACCAAGCAAAGTATGTTCCCCTACATCTCCAAAATCAAAATCAGAATTCTCAAGGTTTCCGTCCTTCATTCTATCCTCAAAATGTGAATCAATATTCTCATCCTCAAGCATCAAATTCTTAATCCTACTCTCAACCTTAAACATCAAATTCTCAATCCTACTCTAATCCAAATCAAGCGCCTCCTAAGAGTCCTGTTTTTGAAGACAAGGTCTTGGAAGCCTTAGGTGATCTTCGAAAAGAGAATCAATTATTTCACTCTCATTCTTAATTAATTACAAAGCTTGAAGCTCAAATTGGGCAATTAGCTAATTCTTTAAATGTAAGAGAGAAGGTAAGTTGCCTAGTCAAACTGAGACCAATCCTAAGGGGCAATTTACGCAAGCAAGTCCTTCATCAGAATTTTCTGGAAATGAGCAAGCTTAAAGAATTACTACTTTGAGAAGTGGTAGGAAAGTGGACAATAAGGTAGAGATACCTAAAAAGGATAGTGAACTGGCACAACCGAGTGGTTGCATCCGTCCCATTCCAAATTATATTCCTACATCCTTAGATGCTAGTGGTTCCAAAAAGGACATTCCATTATCTTCATCATCATCTCCCTAATTAGAG